TTTCTTGCATGGCCTTGATCCAGTGTTCATCGGTTAAGGCTTCTTTGATATTCTTTGGTTCAATCTGCGATGTATAGCAAGAGTATCCAGCTAGTTCAAGGTAGTCGCGTTTTGGTTTACCTCTAGTTTTCACACCTGAACTGGGATCTCCAATCACGTTTTGAATCGGATGATTTTTCTGGATACGAGTTGGAATATCAATATCATCATGATCATGTTCTGATTCTGTCTCAGGTTCAGAATCAGGTTGATTGTATATGGGTGATGAGGTAGGTGACTCATGGTCTGGTTCTGGAGTACTAGCGTCAGGGTTTTAGGACGGTCAGTTTCAGGTTCTGTCGTTGGGTCAGATTGGATAACTTCAGTAATCTCACTGGGTTGATCATCAATGACGACATTTGTGGACTCCATGATGGTTTTGGTCACTTTATTATATACTCGATATGCTCTGCTGTTGGTGAAATATCCAAGGAAAATTCCTTCGTCGCTTTTTGGTTCAAATTTGGAAATAGGATTCCTATCCTTCAAAATAAAACAACGTGAGCCGAAAATGTGAAAATAAGTAATGTTTGGCTTCTTACCTTTCCATAGTTCGTACGGAGTTTGTGTTGTGCCTGGGCGTAGATAAACTCTGTTGATGATGTGACACGCGGTGTTTACAGCTTCAGCCCAGAACTTTTGTGGTAATCCTTTGGCGTTGAGTAACACTCTTGCCATTTCCTGAATGGTGCGATTTTTCCTTTCCACAACTCCGTTTTGTTGTGGAGTTTTTGGGGCTGAATACTCATGTGTAATCCCTGATTGATTACAAAAATTATCGAACAGCTTGTTTTCGAATTCTCTGTCGTGATCGCTTCGGATTTTGCTGATGGATTCATTTCTTTCCTTTTGAAGTTTTAATCCCAGTGTCTTGAATGCTTCAAGCGCTTCGGATTTTTCCCTGAGAAACATAACCCAAGAAAAATGAGAAAAGTCATCAACACATACCAGTATATATTTCTTACCTCCGAAACTGTCTGTCTGAGTTGGACCAACGAGATCCATGTGAACCAATTCTAGGCATCGGCTTGTGTTTATAGTGTGTTGAGCTAGATGAGATGATTTGATTTGTTTCCCAGCTTGGCATGCACCACAGATAGTTGACTTGACTTTCATCTTCGGTAACCCACGAACACCTTCTACTTTTAGAAGTTTATCGAGAAGTCTATAACTGAGATGACCCAATTTTTTATGCCATAGTTCAGCTTCATTCATGCTGGACCTGCAACATAGCACATTATTTGTCAGAATATAGCAATTATCAGTCGATCGTTTACCTTCCATGACACGCTGATTTGTTTTGTCCATCACACTGCAGCTATTTTTAGTGAAGCATACGTTCCAGTTTTGGTCGCACAATTGACTTATGCTGATAAGATTTGCGTGAAGTCCACGGACAAGTAGCACTTTGTCCAGTTTCGGCAAACCGGCTACATTTAGAGTGCCTACGCCAGTCACCTGTCCTTTGACACCGTCACCAAAAGTAACTTCACATTTACTGGTATTTATGTTGTTCAGGAATTTGACATTTCCTGTCATGTGACGGGAACACTCGCTGTCAAAATACCATTTCTCTTCTCTTCCTGCACTTTTAGTATGAAATGAAACAAACGATATATAATCAGTCTTTTTAACCCAGATTTGTTTTGTGAACGGTTGTATGTTCTTCTGCCTGAACTTCTCAATTCTTTGATCCTTGTAGAAATAGTAGCATTCAGGTCAGGTATGTCCGCGTAACCTGCAATAGTGGCAAACAGGATTATATAGTTTATAGCATATCTTATTTAAGCTTACTTTACCATAGGAGTGTATCATAATGCTGGATTCAGGGATGTCTTCTGGATCAGGTCCAGATGCTTTGACAAACACAGTCTTATCTTTGGAGTTACTGCCAGTGAAGCCCAAACCAAATTTTGCAAAAGTCTTTCTGCCGGAATCAAGAATCTTATCAAGTGTTGAAGTGGTATCCATCATTTGTATTTGTCGTTTGTAGGTGCTGAGCTCCTGTTTCAAAATCTATACTTCTTGCTGAAGTTTTGCTTCTCGGTCAGTTGCCTCCTTAAGTATTACATTTCCAGTTTGTACTTCGTTTTGTAGTTTATCCTCTCGATTAGTTGCTTCTTTAAGCAATACATTCCTATCAGCTACTTGATTTTGATATACTTTATTTGCATTGGTTACAATCTCTATTTCACTAGCTAGTTTGCAGTTCATTTTTCTTAATGTTTCCCATTTGGGGTACAATTTGTTAAACTCAGCTTCAAAAGATAAAGTATTTAGTTCCACATCTTCTGCAGAGACATATTCACCACCTTCTGAGTCTTCAACGGGTTCTGAACTACCAGTAACTCATGCCGTAAATGCAACAAAATTACCCGAGATTTCTTCGACATCCGATCCAGTTGGTTCAACGTCAGGCTCGTCATCACTCCAGGTAATAGCTGACATAGATTTTTTGTGTCGAAGATAGGTGGCACACTCAGCTTGTACATGTCCAAAGCCCTCGCACTCATAACACTTGATTCCTTTGTTGTTGGACTTTTCTTTGGACTGTCCTGGACGTGTGACAGACTGTTTGAAGTTTGACACCCCTGTCCTAGGCGCAGTTTTGAACGACGTTGCTCCCTTTTGTGAATTCCTGTTGTGTGTGTTTTTGGATACCTGTTTCAAAATTTTGGAAAACTGTTTAATTAAGAACGCAACTGTATCATCACTAGTTTCATCTGAATCGGATACAACATTATTTTCTTCAGCAGCAAAAGCAACATTTTTTTTTTGTTTTTTCGTATGATCAGTTAAAATCTCCATTTCATATGTTTTGGGATTTCCCATTAGCTGAGTAACAGTTTTATTTTCCCAGCCATCATGCTCTTGGATGGCTGTGACTTTCATTCGAAACCTGGGGGGGGGGGGTAGAGATCTCAATTGGATGGCTCTTGGATGGCTGTGACTTTCATACAAGATGCACGGATTCGCCAGATCGATAGACTAATAGATTAAGTCTACAGGCTCTGATACCAATTGAAATTGCTCCGTGATACTTGAAAAATAAAAGCAATGTGTTTTTACTCGTTAATTAAGTTATGCACCAGTTTCATTAATTAATTAGACTCGTTTAAGCAAGTGTAAATAATAACAGCAGAAAGCATAAAGTAAATCAAAAACACAAAGAAATTGTTACGCAGTTCGGAGCTCCTTCTCCTACGTCTGCGGGGCAACCCACGTCTGCCCAATCCACTATAGATGTTCACCAAAAGGAGTATTACAAGAGGTAAATGAAGACGGCCTCCAGCCTTTACCACTACCACTCTTTCTAACACCTATCCAGGACTAACACACCAAAACCCAAACAATCTTCACAAGATGCTTCAGCAGTACCACGTACTGATCATATAGTACAGATTAAATATTCTTAAGACTTAAATAATAAATCACATTAAAATGAATAGCTTAGTAAATCAGGATAGCTCTCGCAATTTGTAATAATCAAGTTGGCAGTGTCTTCTTTCGAACATCACCTTTTTATAGCATATCATGAGCTCCTTTTTTGATCCTCAAACGTAGCCCTTTTTCTTGCTTTCCATTGTTCGAATAAGCCACAGCCACACACCTTATTTCTTTGAATGCTTCATCCGTAGTCTTTATTCACCAATGCATGTCATCCACTTATTTTGTAACCACATGGTCCAAAACAGAAATAATTCTAAGAACACTAATTTAATTTAAAGCTAATGAGACTAAAAATAAAATATCCAATATTGTGTAAATTATTTTACACTTACAATGTTGATGCAGATACTCGTTAATTATTTAATTTTTTTTTTTTTTAAAAAAGAAAGATGCAGATCGTCTTCATGGCCGGAGACATCTTCGTCTTTGGCCGGCCGGAGACGAAGAAGTTATCTTCGTCTCCATGGCCGGACACGACGCGAAGACATCTCCGGCCATGGAGACGAATCCATGGCCGGAGACGATCTGTATCTTTAATTTTTTTTTAAAAAAATTTAAAATAATTATTTAAATAATAAATATTTTTAAAAATATTTTAAATTAAAGGTGACCTACTTGGGGTAAGAAAACTTACAAAATAGACAAATTGCAAGAAAATGGTTAGTTTAGGGAGCTAATTGTAGTTTTTTTTAGGTTCGGTGACCTCATTGCATTATTGTGTGCAGTTCGATGGCCTATTTGACCCTTATTCCTATATATATATATATATATATATATATATATATATATATATATATATATATATGTATGTATGTATGTATGTATGTATGTATGTATGTATGTATGTATGTATGTATGTATGTATGTATGTATGTATGTATGTATGTATGTATGTATGTATGTATGTATGTATGTATTATTATTATTATTTAAAAGAGTTATTAATCAAGGACAATTCAAATATAAACAAAGATATGTGTGTATGCATGCATAATAATAATAATAATAATAATAATAATAATAATAATAATAATAATAGTTAATACAAAAGCTATTTCCGAGTGCTTGGAAATAGTTAATAATAGGGGACCTATAGGAATGACTATTCCCATGCAAATAGAATAACTCATTCCCAAGAATGATAATTCTATAAATAAAATGTTAAAACAGACAATGAAATATGTCTATCCTAAAAAATGGTATTCCATTCTCAACCTATTTCATGAACCAAACAAGCCATAAATTTTATTTCATTTTTTTTTTTGAAACCATAAATTTTATTTCATAAACCAACTATGAAAATAAAATTATTTAAAAAAAAAACATAATTATTCGGAATTAAAGATACATGGAGAAACCTAATTAATCCGACAATTAACTTAATAATCAATTTTTAAAGTTATACGGAGTATTATTTTGTGAGCAACATTTGAACCAATCAGTAACCGTTTATCTGTGTAAACCTTTTTTTTTTTTTCCGGACAACTGCGATGAGCATTGCCCTTTGATTTAGGAATTAGGGACACTTCTATTGGTGAAGAATAATTTAAGAGACGAAGACTAGAGTTTACTTACAGAAGTCGTCGGACAATAATCAACTCAACAATTCTTGAATCGGATTCTTCACAGCAGCACTGGTAACTGGTAAGGTTTCTTCCTTCTCTACAAATTAATTAATTTTTAAGCATTGTTTTTCTGAGAGTTGATTTCTGAGAAGTGGGTAATCTTCCAATCTCGTCGGCTTACCGCTTTGTGGATCTCCTTACATTTATTTATTAGAAGTATTTCCATTAATTCTTTGATTCTGCTGTCAAGTTTCCAGCTTTAATTTTGATAGCTAAGAAGGTTTTAGTGGAGCTGATTGAGAAAATTTCTTATGGATTTCAGCTTCCTGACCAGTTTTATGTATGGTGTTTCCCAGCTTTATTAGTGTGTTTGTCTTTGCAAATTGCAATTCCGATTCACAAGCTGCAACTTTTAAGTTTGACCCGCAACCACTACATATTTGTAGACCGGGTAAACCCCGCCTTGTGAGTTGCGGGCCAATATGCCACTCCCACGGGCCGTCAAATTTGTAATTTTGTTGTTACCAAATCTAACAGTTTGACCAACTTGGCTGGGGTTAGCTCTAAGCAATGCTTTTCTTTTGGAATGCGTTTTGTTGGTATTGCTAATCTTTTGGAACTGTGGGAAAACAATAAAACAGGAAGATAAAAGCTAATAAGCCTCCTGTGATTTTGTATTTTTGGGTAAGAAGTCTTGATGATTAGAAAATTCACATTAATGGATGATATGTATAGAGTATAGTGTCTCTCCCAGACACTCTATGTTGCTTCTTCCCACAATGGTCTCTCCTAGACACTCTGTTGCCTCTTCCCGTAATGGTCTCGGATTTTCTATGGGATTTTATGCTTAACTTGTTTGATCCTCGATGGATAAATCATGCCTTATTGTTATTTGCTTGTTCTCTGCTTTACTTTTTTTGCACCCGCTGCAATGTCAAGTGTTATTGGCTATGCCTAATGAAGAGCGTGTTTCTTCTACCATTTGACTTCTTGTTTCATGTAGGCTTTTGAGCTTTAATGTATTATATATCGAGATGTGTTATGTGTAAGTAAATGAATAAGTCATGTTTTGTTTCTTTGTGTCGTCTATTCAAGTATGGGAGAGGATGTGATAGGGCACAATAACGGTGAAGGAAAAGAATAAAGAGAAAGTAGCGGAAACTTCAAAGCAGAAGCTTATTAAGTTAAGAGGCACAAACAGACTAATGAAGATGACAAAAGTGGGCTCTGAAGGTGAGAGGAAGAAGCTCTCAAAGGAAAACGCCTCCATTGGTGAAGGTAAGGTGGGCCGAAACGAATTGACTTCTAAAGGGATAGCTAAGCAGGAAACAAAGAAAGTGGCCTCAAAGAAGGCAGCCTTACAAGGCAAAGGTGTGCCTGGTACGTTCCATAGGATAAAGTCCTCGAGGAAAGCTGAGATGGGGATGATCTTCATGTGCAACTCGGAGACAAAGAGGGACTGCTACCGCTATAAGGTTCTAGGATTGCCAGAAAACAGGAGAGAACTAGTGGGAAATGTGCATAAAGGAATGGTACTGTTTTTATATGACGTTGATTTGAAACTAATGTATGGGATCTATAAAGCTGCTGGACCTGGTGGGTATAACATCGAACCCAATGCTTTTAACTCTCAGTTCCCATCTCAGGTTAGTCGAATTTCCCTTCTTTAACCCTTAATACTCTTAGCTTTAAGCTCATGCGTGCGAACTGTAAGGATGTGATAATGGGAGGATTTTATTTAAACTGAATGAACTTAAAGTATACCTGAACAGTGAACAGTGTTATATCCAATGTTGAAAAAATCGCTAGGCGCCCTCTAGGTGCTTGGGGACCGCCTAGAGTGCCTAGGCGCCGATTTTTGCAACACTGGTTATATCTAATCTTGTGTCTCATGTTCTGTCAGGTACGGTTTAAGGTCCTGGATCGTTGCAAGCCCTTGGCTGAGGAAAATTTTAGAAAGGCGATTCAAAAGAATTATTACACCCAGACAAAGTTTGGTTGCAAATTGACGTCTGAACAGGTTCCTGGAATTATTTTGTACAACTCCTTTAGAATTGTGTGCATCTATTGTTAAGAAACTCTTGTTTATATAATTTCTCTGCAGGTCCAGGACTTGTGTAAGATTTTCAGAGCTGCTAGTCGAAGATCTTCAGGCAAGGCAGTGCAGAAAGATAGGATTGGGGAGCATGGGGTTGGCTATAACAAGAGGCGAGCTGCAGTGGAGGAGCCACGATATCGTGGGCATCCTTATGGCTACGAAAGGGATGGGGTTGCATTTCGAGAGGCTCAAATGCGTCGGTTTCCAGCTACTGCTCACTCATATGCCCATGAGAGGAACCCAGAAACCGATACTTACAGAAGGCGCCCATCGGCAAAAGCCCGTGATGATTCTTTTAGACATGACCGGGTGGAAGAACCGTGGGAGGCTTATGAGCAGGACCTGTTGCTAGACCAACTCCATTATTATAGACAAGAAGCTGTACCAGAGAGCCACACTTCTTACAGACGGGATGGAGTGATGGACCGCGATGACCTTCACCCCTTCGATTTCAACCCGAGGTGGGATGATGATGATGATGAGATTAGGAACCACAGAAGCTATGATCACTATTCTTCATACCGTGAATGCTCATCATACCGCGATCCTGATTACCGAATGACTCCTCCAGAACGTTTCTCGGGTGAATACAGCCCTGCATATCGTTCGCCCAAGTACCATTCCGGTTCACGACTCCTGCCTGAATACGGCAATGCTGACTTGCTGCCGGAGTATCGTGTGTCCACTGCCCTGTGGCGTAGCCGATGTTAGTTTTTTTTTTTTTTTTTTTTTTTTTTTTTTTTTAAATGAAGTCTGTAACATTCAAGCTGGTGGAATTATTTCATGGTTTCTTTCACTGTGTACTCGAATGACCTGCACTACATTGCTATTGGACTGTAATCAAGTTTCTCTGTTAGGGGTGATTGGAAAATGGTTTATCAGTCAAAGCCTATTTGTTTGATCAACTTTAACTGTTTTGTAAAACAGTTAGTATGAGTGTTTCGTAGACACATTTTGACTTAGTTTATTGATGTTAATAAGTTAGGAAAAAAAGTTACTTTGAGTAGCTTATTGATATTAAATTATTGGATTTTCAATTTAAAAGTCTAATTTACTTTTAATAGTCATTCGTTATTGTAGTACTTATATTTATTCAATTTTTATTTAAATTTATATTTTTAATATCACTATATATTGTCCCGTGTGATGCACGGAATAAATACAATTTTAATAAAAATAAAGTGTTGTTGTGTAAAAAAAAAAAGGGAAATATTATTAGCAAAAACGCCAAAAAAACTAAATTACAAATTATTAAAAATCACCTTCTAAATTACATTAGTAGTAGAAGTACAATTATTTTGTGTTTCGTCACAAATTAATATCTTGAGATCGTCTATATTACTTATTCTGGATGCTACAACATATAACTGTCTATGAATAAATAGGCAACATATAACTGTCCATGAACAAATAGTGGTTCATTCTCTTCCAAGTTCCAACACAATCAAATAGAATTTTTTTTAAAAAAAATTGAAGTAATACGAACTATATATTATATAAAAATCTCTAATATAAACACTATCTATTAATTAATCTCTATAATTTTTTAAAATATATTTCTATATATATATATATATATATATATATATATATATATATATATATATATATATAAGCGCGCGCGTGTGCCGCGCACACACACATATATATATATATATAGATAGATTAGAACGGCCTAGAAATAAACGCAATTACGTAAAGCTTCCAGAGTCCAGACCCTTCTTTTTTGTTATATATATATATATATATATATATATATGTGTGTGTGTGTGTGTGTGTGTGTGTGTGTGCGCGCGCGCGCGTGTGTATTAATAATTGAATTATTATTAACTACGGAGTATTTCTTAGTTAAATTTATATATTTTTTAATATCATTAGAATTGCCTATTTATGTGTGTGTATTCTTTTATAATTATAACACTAGTATTTTCACCCGTGCGATGCACGGAATAGAATTGTTGTAATATATTAAGAATATTTAAATTGATATATAATTATTTAAGAGTTAATTTCACCAGAGGTCGTTTATCTTTCCTGACAATTCCAAATTTAATCCTAGACTATAGTTATTAATTATTACAATTTATTCTATGTTACAACTCTAACGTTAATATTCTTACTATTATTATTAACACTTAATTACTTTTAGATATTATTATTACCACTTATATTATTATTACTAGTCTTTTCTATGCGCGATGCGCAAAACTAAGTGCCCAACATTAATATTCAATGTTAAAATTATGGTTATAATTTTTTTTAAAAATAAAATTTTATAATTTTTTATAAAAAATTCATAAAATTTATAGTTGTAGAGAATTCATATTATATATTAAAAAGTATATTAATAATTATGGTATGATTAATAATTTACTTATTACATATTCTAATATAATATCTACATATATATATATATATATATATATATATATATATATATATATATATATATATTATTACAATTAAAACAATTAAAGAATGTCCTTTTCAAAAAAAAATTAAAGAATGTAAGAAAATATATGGTGAATGCAAGTACATGGTAACAACAATGGAAATAGATAACAGAAGTTATAACAGTAGGGGCATTGTTGTCCAAAAAATTATATAGTACAACATTTATAGCTTAATGTATCAAAAAAGATAACAGAAAAACGGACATAAATGAAGGGTACCAACCTTCATTCACACTTATTAGATTCTTAGATTAGATATTATTATTATTATTAGTTTCTTTTCAAGTACTGTTAGTATATAATGGTCGTGAGGCACAATAATAATATAACCATAATTAAATATTCTTGTATTGTATTCCGGAGTTAATGCCATTTTTGGTCCTAGACTTATTGAGGCATTGACACTTTTCATCCTCCATAATAAAAATTGCCACTTAGTAGACACTGTTATTGGTCGTTGGACAGTTTTGATCCTCCGTCAATGAAGTCGTTTGTTGACCGTGAATTAGAAGGGCTTTTCTGTCTTTTTATGTCTTATTCTTCTAATCTTGTTTAGACCAGCGTTGCTGTGACTCCTGTGAGGCGAGATGGCGAGACTTGGTGGCTAAGTAGTAACCGTCGGTAGTGAGTAGCAGCGAGGTTCTTCTCCGGCGAGTTGTGGGTACGGCGGCGAGCATACGAGGCAGTAACTCCTTCTGGCGACGGACCAGTAAGGCAGATCTGGCGGTGCAGCAACAGATCCGGTGAGGTTGGGGCCTTCACCAGTGGTTTTTGGTTCCGGCGAAGCAGAGAGGGCAGCAGGTCGGCGAACCCTCCTATGGTAAATAGCAGTTGTAGTTGTAGATGGCGTGATGTAGAATTTGCACCTATAAGTCCTCCCTTCCATATTGACCACAACTATCCTTCCCATCTCTCTCTCTCTCTCTCTCTCTCTCTCTCTCTCTCTCTCTCTCTCTCTCTCTCTCTCTCTCTCTCTCTCTCTCTCTCTGACCATAACTACTTGGTGCACAACCTCAAAAACTCTACTCTGTTATTCTACCTGAAATTCATTGAAGTTTCAAGCTGAAAATGTGGAATCCGCCGCTCCCCAAAAATCGCATTGTCTGAGGTGTTGGAATGGCCGGTGTTGACTTCATGGCTGCTGTAGCTTCATTCCCCAACCCGGATGATAAAATTCGGAGCACCAGCTTTGAGGTTCAAGGAGGTGGTAACACCTAATAAAATTCGTCTTGGTCTTAATCCAAGGATCATATCTAAGGTTGCTGATGACTCGCATGGCGAAAGAATACTTGATGAGCTTGAAAGGGATGGTGTTGATACATCTTTTATGGTGGTGCCCAAAGGAGGAAACTCACCATTCACATATGTCATTGTTGACAACCAAAAAAAAAAAAAAAAAAAAAAAACTCGCATGTGCATTTTCACTCCAAGATATCCACCCATGATATCTGAGGGTCTACATACCCAAATCAAAATTGTCTTCAGCGCTTGGAGTAAATATTGTCTACTTAGATGGAAGGCTGCATGAGACTGCTTTGATTGTAGTGCAGGAGGCAAAGAGTAGGGGCATACCTATTATAGTTGATGCAGAAAGGTTAGGGGAGAGGTTGGGTGATATTCCTGACTTTGCTAGTTATGTTGTATGCTCGACAAAATTTCCACAGGCATGGACTAACGCCCTTTCTATTCCAACTGCACTTGTTTCCATTATCTTGAGATTGATGTCAAATGTAAAATTCGTGATTGATAGTTGGGTGAAAATGGTTTCTTAATGTTAGAAAGGACTGAAGCGGATAACCTCAGTTTGAAGAAATGGATGTAGCAGTGACCAATGGATGGAGAAATACAAGGATTAGAACATAAAAAGACAGAAAAACCCTGCTAATTCACGGTCAACAAACGACGTCATTGACGGAGGATCAAAACTTTCCAACGATCAATAACAGTGGTTATTAAGTGACAATTTTTATTATGGACGATGAAAAGTGTCAATGCCCCAATAAGTCTAGAACTAAAAATGGCATTAACTCTTGTATTCCGTGAGTCACAATAATAATATAACAATAATTAAATATTGTTCAATTCTAGGATCTTCTAGGATTTCTATTACCATCATTAATTATTCCCAAATTTACCATAATTAAATAATTTGACCAATTATAAAGAAAGATTATTAAATAATGCACGGGACAATTGTTTAATTAAAAATTTTAAAAATTCATTAATAAAACATAAGGTTCTCATAGTTTTTTCTTAGAAACTCTTTAATAAAGTATTTTTTTTAGAAATTGGTGGGCCAAACCGCCTACGGCAGTTTGCGGTGGATAGATCTAGAAAAAATACGCAATTTCAAAAAAACATTTGTCCAAAACGGACAACGGAGTCAAAAGTTATGCCTTGTCGAACTTTTAACACTTTACAACTTAAAAAATAAAAATTAAAAATTAAAGGCTGGTTCAGCCGGCGAGGCGGCCGCTGAGGAGGCCGATTCCGGCCTTCCTCGCCGCGGCCAGCGATACGATTTTTGCAACACTGATATATAAAATAGATATAGATTAGAATAGGAATAGTATTATACAATTTTATAATATTACAATAAAATTTTAACACAGAATTATTGTAAAAATCAATATATTTTATTAGGAAGAGAGATTTTTTAGGAATTGGGCGGGAATTTAAAATTCTAGGATTTTGTTTTTATATATAGTATAGATTAGGATAATAATAACATGGCGTTTGGTTGGAGGGAATTTAAATTCCCTTCCCACCTAATTCTAAAGGCCATAAAATTCCTTAGTTTGGTTGGAAGGAATTGCAAGTTCATGGAATTGCAATTCCCCCATTTAATGGAATTAAAATCCCAGTCACCCCCCTCCCCACCCCCCCCCCCCTCCCCACCCGGGATTTTAGGAAGAAAAAAAGTTAATGTTGAGACAAAATTACCCCTTCATTTTTTTAATCTAAAATTAATACCATATAAAAAAAGTTAAACAATTTATTCCCTACATGCAAGAAAGAGCCTCTATAATATATAATTCAATAAGTTTCTAAAAGACTCTTGTATAAATAGTGGTGCAAATCCTTTTCCCAAACAAATGTGGGACAAAAGTTCATCTTTTTCCCATCATTTTTCCAACTCAATGGGTCTACTTTGAGAATCAATATCTCATTCACCCATTATCCGTTTTAAGCGTACAATATATCAATCTCTTCGTCTCACTAAATTCGAATCCAGTTTGACCCAATCCAAATCGGGAATGAACCCCACTAATAATTGTACCACAAAATAGCCACTTAAAATACCATTTTAATACCATTTTTCCAACATTTTATGGGGGAGGCGTCCTATAGAGTGGTCCTACTCTCGCCGGATGGATCGTTCATAGCAGCGCGAAACGGAATTCTACCAACCTGCTTCTCACCTTTTATGGTGGAGGCCATGGCTTGTAAGGAGGCTCTATCATGGCTCATCGGAAGGAATACGGTTGATGTGGATCTACTCACAGATTGTTTGCAACTACGGAATGCCGTACGCCAGGGATCAACAACTATTATGTCATATGCTGGACTTGCAGTCGACCATTGTAGGTCGCTGATGACTTCATTTACTTATTGTTCGTTAAGTTATGTTTCTAGGCAGTTTAATTTACATGCACATGCTTTAGCTTCGTTAGCTTTTACTCAGGATCAGATTATGACATGGGATTTAATTCCACTTGACACTATTGCAGCTTTGCTTCATTAATACAATCATTTATTGGTTAGCTTTCAAAAAAAAAAAAAAAGAGTTAAGTAAATAAGACAATGTATTAATGCTCTTATATGTCATTTTACATGTAATTAATTTACCAAACAGCTTCCGTTACCACTAATACTATCAGCAGCTAATTTCCAAATAACCCCTTAATATGAAAGCTTATTTCTTATACAAAAGTAGAAAAGTAAAGGAAGTGAACAAAACATATTCTGCATAGGAAGCCATTAATGGAGTTTGATTAGAGCTTTGTAATCAACAGATCAACGCCAAACTCAGGCTTGATGACGAGCTTCAGAGCGGGCGAATGAATATATTTGGGAGATATGCTGAACGAGAAGTTGGTGAGGAGAGCCGAGACCAGCATCTTGAGCTCGACCATGGCCAAGTGCTGTCCAACGCACAGCCTCGGCCCGAACCCGAACGGCAAGAACGAATGCTGCTGCTTGCAGGCACCGCTAACGCCATTGGCGAACCTTTCTGGGTTGAAGGAAAGTGCGTCAGGTCCCCAGTTTTCTGTGTCTACATGGAGTGTCTCCACCATGGTCCAAATGTTGACGCCCTTTGGTATATCGTAGCCTCCTATTTTAATGTCGTTTAAGGCTTCCCTGGCCAGTGCTGGCCCCGAGGGATATAAACGTAACGTTTCTTGAAGAACCATTGTCACCTGAATTTTACTTAAAAAGTTATAGATTTCAATAAAGGTTATTAAAATTAAATAGTTTAAGGGTAAAAAGGTCATTTTCCTTTGTTTATTTATATATATATACCGTTTTCATTTTACGAAGCATTTCAGCGTCTGGAGTTTGGCCATGGCAGATCTCGGCGATCTCGGCACGGCAGCGGTGCTGCCAGTCGGGATGCGCCGCCAGGAGCATGAGGCACCAGGAGGCGCCGATGGCGGAAGCCTCGTGAGCGGCGAGGTAGACGTTTTTGCAGTTGGAGACGATGAACGCATCGATTTCCTGCGGAGACATTTCTCCGGCCTCTGCGCCTTCAACAACCATTTGCAGCAAGTCCTTCTCCGCCCCCTTCTCCTTCCTCTCCTTCACCACTTCTATGATCAAATCGTGAATTTCCTTGTCCAGCGCCCACCCTTCTCTGTTCCCCTTTGTGGGAAGACGCCTAAAAAACATATCATTTCGTCATTATATAAATTTATTTTAAATATATAATGATAGGATATAGAGAGAGAAATATATTACGATAGTCCTGGGATTCCGATGGTGGTGACTTTGGCAGAAGTGGCCTCCTGGAGATCTTTGAGCCTGTTGAAGATTTCTTTTCCCCTTTCGTAGCTGCTCCCAAAACAGGCTCTTGATATCACGTCGCCGGAGAACGCTCTCATATATTCATCTATGTTAACATCTGCCACTCCTCCTTCCGCCGCTTCCACCACCGCCTTCCATGACTCCACTAATATTCTTGCTGATTCTGCAAACAAGGGTGTCATTCCCTGCACAATATTTACCAGCTTTTATCATGATCATGAACAGTTCTAAGGTATGGACCAGTATATTTATACTTTGATTTAGGTTATTTGAAGGTGGATTCTAGGTAAGCTGCCTTGTAGCCATAGTTGACATAAGGTGTGTAATCGGTTAATTAACCAAATTATTTTAATAGAAGTTTTTAAAGATT